CTCGGCTTCTTCCTACTTTTTCTGCATTCTGGCAATGCCTATGAGAAGACTGTAACTCAGAGCTTATTGTATGAGGAATACATAGGTTAAACTGAAGGTAGGACCAGGTCAAAACTTACTGTCATTTTCAAATTCATATTAATTTCTTAAAGAAAAGGTCATACATAATGCAGGTTGGCCTTGAACTTAATATTGGCATGCAGATGACCGTTTATTGCTGAGTGCTGAGACTGTAAGCACGCATCACCCCGGCTGCTAGCACACTGTTGGAACTGAACCCAGGGTTCCCTGCAACTAGGCAAGGACTCTATCTAATGAGAAACTTCTGCAGTCCCTGAAATTCATATGTAGATGAATATTTATGAGTAGATATATACTGTAATGCTTTTTAAAGACTACTTTATGATATATTTGTATCTGTGTACAAGACAGGACCCTCGTAACCATGTGCCTGCAGAGCCCAGAAGAGAGATTCTGGTGATCTAGCATGGAAGCTACAGAGAGCTGAAATCTGCCACACGTGGAGGCTTGAAACTGATCTCAAGTCTTTTGGAAAAGCAGTACCTACTCATAACTGCTGACTAAAGGCTTCAAACCAAGATGGGTAGTAGTGGCTCACGCCTTTAATCCCAGGACTCAGGAGGCAGAAGCAAGTGATCTCTGAGTTCAAGGCCAGTCTGCTCTACAGAGAGAGTTCCAGGGCTAAAAGAGAAACCCTATCTCATGAACAAACAAACAAACAAAAGAAAAAAATAATTTTTTTAAAAAAATGATATAAATCTTTAAAAGAACAAAACCAACTCTTAAACTCCAAAACAAAACAAACAAACAAGTATAAGGTCGGTGCAGTAACATTTATTGGTAACATATATGAGTCCCTAGGTTCAAGTCCCAGTATAGAGGACAGAAAGTATTGAAAGGAGTCTGGAGTTTAAAAAAAAGTAAACGCCTGCCAAAGCTTACCTCTAGATGAAGTAGACGGGTGGTCGTCTACAACACTTAGGGTATTCATCTCGTGTTTATTAAAAGTAATAGAATGACTCTATCTCGACACTGCGTCTAACCTAAGTGCCACGGCCACCTGCAGACAGCGGATCGTAATTAACTAATTCCATCTTGGGTTCCTCCTCTTTCTCACGTTACTTGGCTTCCCGGTGGAAAAGTAGCTCCTACGACCAGGCAGGGGGATGGCTGCGTTGGGGAAGGGGTTCTCAGCGGCACCAGGCCCCGGATTCCATGCCCAGCAGAAAGCAAAGGAAGACAGACAAGGTCTCCCTGCGTGAACAGAGCAAAGCCTGCAGCGAAGGCGACCACACACACCCACGCTCCAGGAACCGCGCGCACGGGGCTCGGCGGCCGGGGCGGCGACGGGATCGCAGCGGCAGCAGCAGCGGCGGCGGCCCCGGTGCAGCGCCCGCAGCCCCGGCCTCACACCCGCCGCCCGCTCGGCCCCGCCCCCGGCCTTCTCCGCCCTCCGCCGAGTCTCCTCGCACAGCCGCGGGCTCCCACGAGAAAAGCAGCCCCGGTCCGCCTCAGCCTCCCTCAGTCCGTCCTCCCCACAACGCCGCTCCTCACCACAGGGCTGCGTCTCTCCACACGGACCCCAGAGTTCGACGCCAGGGCTCGGCCTCGCCGACAAACACAAAAAAAAAAACGCTGCGAGCGACTGCGGGGGTGGGGAAGCAGCGTGAGACGAGGGGAAGAAAAGCAAAGGAAAGGCCGGGAAGCAATGTCAAGCGCACTTCCGGCTACGGTAGGCCGAAGGGGTCAAATTTCACAGCCTGCCATTGTGGAACGGTGAGAATAGGAGATTATGGAGGCATCAAGCAGGGCATTGCTGGAGAAAGAGCTGGTTGGACAAGTGGGCTTTGACAGGTTTATTTTATGAAGGCTCCCCGCCCTAGTGGTCCATTTATTATTGTTCAGATATTTTTTAATGTTTTTGTTTAGTTGGTTTTGGTTTTTAGAGACAGGGTTTCTCTGTGTAGTCCTGGCTGTCCATCTGTAGCCCACCTGCCTCTGCCTCCCAAGTGCTGGGATTAAAGGCACTTGCCACCACTATTGGCGCCCCTATGTCTCTCTCCCTCTCCCTTTCTCTGTATGTGTGTGTGTGTCACTGAAAAAAATATAATATGCAAATATATGTTTGCATATATTAGACATGTAAATATGTACTGCATGCATATGCATAAAGTATGCATGTATGTATGTCTGTGCATACAAGTATGCGTGCATGCAATGTATGTCCGTACACATGTATGTGCTGCATATGTATGTGTACACATATGCATACTTTTTTTTTTTTTTTTGGTTTTTCGAGACAGGGTTTCTCTGTGGTTTTGGAGCCTGTCCTGGAACTAGCTCTTGTAGACCAGGCTGGTCTCGAACTCACAGAGATCCGCCTGCCTCTGCCTCCCGAGTGCTGGGATTAAAGGCGTGCGCCACCACTGCCCGGCTTGCATACATGTTTATATGCACATATAAATAGGTAAATATTTTTTTTTAAGCTAGCCATTGGGAAGCAGAGGCAAGTAGATATCTGTTAGCTCAAGGCCAGCTTGGTACATAGTGAGTTCTAGAACAGCCACAGCTATGCAGTGAGACCGTCCGTTTTGTGTGTATGTGTATGTGTGTATATACATACATATATACACACACACAAACGGTATATATATATGTTTTATAAATTTTATTTATATATTATTTTTTAAGTTAATTTTATATCTATGTGTGTTTTACCTATCATGGACCAACCTGACTCCATCTTAAGATTGAAAACCATTGTAGGACCCAGCTATGACAAGCTCAATAGAGACCTGAGTGGTCCCAACCAGCAGATATGAATCTGGAGCACAAACCCTGAAGGAGAGGAATGAAAAGGGGCAAGAGACACGAGAGACAGACAGCAAGTCTGTATTCTGATCAAGCTGTCAATTTTATTTTTTCCCAGGAGCATTATATAGCAAAAAGACAGGGGGGAGGGTAGGATGCTGGAATGTCAGGTCTGGAGACATCCCTAGCTATAGGAAGAGATAAGGAAATGCTGAGGGTCTACAAATGTTTACTAAGTGGTGGGAGGGGGATTCTAATTACTTCAGGGGCCTGGGGCCTGCAAGGGTATAGGCACTCCTAACTCACAGGTGGAGACAGGAAGATACTGGGTTATTTCCTGGACCTGGAACTTACCCTGCAGAGGTAAATAGCTTACTTAACTTTGTGAGCTAAGATGACTATAACCAAATATAGGTCTTTGCTCCCAGCACTGAGTCTCAGTAGTTTACCCTAGGGCAATACCTGGTTTTGAGAAAGACCACAAACTGAGACCACCCAGGCACCACCCAGGAACACATCCAAAGGAAATTTCTAACGTTCCCACCATTGTAGATTGGATCACCTTCCAGCACACACCCACCACTTTTCACCAGGACACCCCTAGACAAATGTGGGTCAGTCGGGGGTCCTGAACCTTAGAAATCCCTCACTCTCACCTTTGCTACTGTAAAAACCCAACCCCAACTGAGCTCAGGGCTCTCCGAGGGCTCCTATATGTTGGACACACAGAGAGTCCAAGTTTGCAAACTTGTGTAAGAACAAAGGCTCTTTGCTTTTATATACAGGACTCGGTCTCCTAGTTGGTTTTGGAGAGACTCTGCTCTGGGCTGTAATGGTCTGTCCAGTCCATTTAAGAGACAAGCCTCATCCACTCCCCCAAGGCAAGGGGACCTTCCTTCTGCTTACAGCCTGATCACTCTCACTCACACACCCTCTCTCTTTCTCTCTCTCCCTCCCTCCCACCCCTTCCCTTTCCTTCTGTAACCCATTGAATAAACTAAATCCAAGCCCTCTCTCTCCATGGCATGCCCATCTGTCTCTGTCTCTCACCTGTGTGGCTCCTTGTGGGACTGGCTGACCCACTGACCTGCCAAGCTCTCTCACCCACTGTCTCCCACCTGCCTGGGACCCACAGAGGCCTCAGGTGGTGCCCTGGTGCCACTGCTACCCACCCTCTGGGATCTGCACCTCACTGTTAAACTTTGTCTTTCACAAGTACAAATATCACCTATTAAGTTGAGAGCCAGTACAGTCAAGCTTGGACTCAGCTCTCTGGGCAGATTCTATACTGTAGTTATAACTCATCTGTACCTGATAAATAGCCCTCAACTGCTCAGAGATCTGGGGAATATGGCATTTAAATGCTTAGTTATTAAAAGACTTTTCATAACAAAAAGAGACAGGTTTGCTCCTAGCAGCAGCACTCTACTTCCTCCAAAGAAGACAGAAGACAAATGGGCACACAACAATGTCCATCTGCAATTCACTTCAACTGCCAAGCACTGACCACTGGGAGAAACTGCCTTTCATCTAAACTGAAGATCACCAGACAGTGGACAGACTTACCGGAATCGACAGCCTAGCTGCTCAGGTGAAGGTAGGCTTGTCTTCCTACAGATTTCTTAACCCACAGGATCTTCTGGAGCCTGGCAGGCCCTGTGCTAAACAGCAAAAGGCAAATACGTAGGTGCCAACCAAGGTAAGTTCTCTGTCATATTTTAATCAATAACTCAAGTAAAATTTTATCCTTCTCAAAGATCTCTGATGCAGTTTGACAACTGAGAGGCTTGTCATTTAAAAGGGCAACCTCACCAAACAAGTTAACAAAATTCTCCCTCATGCTGCCTTTCATACTCTTAAAGATACTTTTCATTATACAAAAATATCTGTCACTGGGGACTGGAGAGATGACTTGGTGGTTAAGAGCATTGCCTGTTCTTCCAAAGGTCCTGAGTTCAAGTCCCAGCAACCACATGGTGGCTCACAACCATCTGTAATGAGGTCTGGTGCCCTTGTATACATAATAAATAAACAATATTAAAAAAAATATATCTGTCACAGTCATAAGCCCAAAAAATTCTTATGAGTTCCAGGGAGCCGAATTAAAGGATCCACCTTAAACAGGTCAAATACACCCCCTCTCAATTCCCTGGCCCTAAAATTTTTTTTTTCTTAAACTTAACTTTGTCCTCTGTTCTACCAATACCTTAAACAGGTGTAAAAGACACCAGATATTTCCATACCACAAATCCTGGCCAGGAGCAATCTTTTACATTGTATGAAAATCTAAAGATTTAAGAGCTACACTAAATTAGCCGAAGAAGCATTCTCAACTCAGGTGATTCTCTTCTCCTTTAAATAGTATACTGTAGCCTTTGGGAGCGTAATTATTCATAAAGCATTATAATTTATCCTGACAAGAAAGTATGGCTCCAAGACACAGGGCCCAAAAGTATCTCTCTCCATTAATCTCTTTTCTTCTCAGAGATCAGCAGTCAATGACGGATGTGAAGCTTCTTCAGATGCCTAAGACAGGAGCTTGCATATAAGAATACCTGTTCCAAAGACGGGAAAATTTGGGTAAATGAAGAGGACTTTGCCCAAGCCAGGCATGATCTGTCTGTCCTGTTGCAGAAGCACAGGCTTTATTAAAATTAATAAGAAAGAGTGGATTGTAGGACCATATTTCTACGTGGTGTGACAGCCAAGTTCTCAGGCCATGCCTAGTATCCAGAGAAGTCACGTAACATTCCAGACACGCTGTCACTAACCTAACAAAAGGTCAGGATGTTGTTTTGCTCTTTTCTTTGTAATTTGGAGGAAGCCTGATAGAGATGCTAATTCAGGCCTACAGGACAGCTAGCTTACAGAGCAAATAGGTAGATGTGGACAAGAGTAAAAGACATTCACCTGGTTACCTAGGAGACAGAATGCTAATGTATTTACCCCTCCGTGTATGTTTTGGTATAAAAGCTGTTTGGAGAATAAAATGAGAAGAATTCTCAGGAACTCAGGACTTCATGAGGGACCACTGAGAATCTCCCTCCTGATAAAGCCATGTGAGCTGTGTCTTTATTCCTGCACCTCCATGCTGGTCCAGAGAGATAGTTTATGTTGGGGTCTAGTTCAGAGAAATAATTTATGGTCCACCGGACCCCGACAATCCTGGGACCTCAGTGCTGGTACCACCTCTCCCGGCTCAAGAGGACACCTTTCCAGCAACTGGGACCTGGTTTTCCAAGATATCCCAATGAAGAGCGTATCTGTTGTTGTGTCTTACTGTTGTTGTCTCTCTTGTACAGGGCAGTCCTCCATTCCATTTCTTCTGGCAGTCTCCCCTCTTCCTATGGCTAACCCCATTCATAGGGCTGGTACTATTAACCTATTTTTTCTCCTAGCAACCTGCCTTCTTATCCTCCTCATGGAGCAGATGCCTGAGGTCTCCAGGATAACAGATAACCAAATGCTTCTTCATCCATACCTCCAAACTAAGCGTGGGCCCACCGACTCCCAGCTCTCCCGTCCCCACGTCATCCCATGCCTGCAGGAAGTAGCCAGACTTGAACCTACATCCATATAGCCAAGGAGTCTGGGATGTTTAGATGGAAACACCATCTGGTCTCACTCTTCCCTTTCCAGACCTGAGAAAACCCACCCACCAAGATCCTACTCCCTCGAGATCCTCAAGACTAGGATGTAGCCCCCCTCACCTGCCACGAGATTTCTGTTCCCCCACCCAAGACCACCCGGGAGTTGCTTTGCTCATTAAACCTGGACTTTTAATTAGTCCTGATCTGATTTATTGCATCAACAGAGACTTAATATCAGGAAACCTTTAAAAAAAGTATCCCATCAGAGCCGGGCGATGGTGGCGCACGCCTTTAATCCCAGCACTCGGGAGGCAGAGGCAGGCGGATCTCTGTGAGTTCGAGACCAGCCTGGTCTACCGAGCTAGCTCCAGGACAGGCTCCAAAGCCACAGAGAAACCCTGTCTCGAAAAACCAAAAAAAAAAAAAAAAAAAAAAGTATCCCATCGGAAGCACATGCTTTGTAAATCAGTGATGTAATGCTGTCTTATGGAAACCTGGAGATTGATTCCAAATATAATTTTAAAAAAGCAACAAGATAAGAAGAAATACATGTAAAACCATTTAGAGCAACAGACTCAAAGTAGGAAGAGAGGTTAAAGTATGTGAAGAAAATATTTATTTAGACAGCTATATTGCCATGGCAATCTCAGATAAAACACAAATCAAGGCAAACTCCACTATTTAGCCTTACAAGGAATCACTGTGTGTGTTTCTCACGCTCCCTAGGTCATGTTTCACCCTCTTCTCTCACCATAGTCTCATGTTTAATGCCTGTTTTGTGTGTCGTCTTTAAGACCCTAAAGATCTTGAATTAGCATTTCCTTAAAAGTTTCTTTTGATTTTTCTCTCCTCCTGTGGTTTTTCCTTCTCTGGTTTTGCTGAGGCTTTGGCTTCTCCTCGAGGTTTGGTCCAGAGATCTCACCTGTGTGTGTTTCTCTCGCTTCCTTCTTTGTGTCTTTCTGCCTACTCATCTTTAAAGGCAAACACTTCCAGTACAGAATTAGTCAGATTTTTTCTCCTGTTTTAACACTGGATATTGCAAAACAACAGTCTTGCCGATGGCGAAATTCAAGCAAGCTCTCCCCTCCTTATCCTGGCCTCACACAGGCCACAAGCAGAGATGACAGAAGCTGGCACCAGGATGGAAACCCCGTGTCTGTGCACCACATGTGCAGTGGCTGTGGAGGCCAGGGAGGGTGTCTGATCCCCTGAAACTGGAGTTACAGAGGGTTGTGAGCTGCTGTGTTTGTTCTGGGAACCAAACCCAAGTCCTGTGCAAGAGTAGCAAGTGCTCTTTACCTTTATAGCTCCAAAGTTGTGTCTTTCTTCAAAGGACAGTGGGACTTGTGAGTAGGAAGCAAAGCAGGGCACAGTAACCAATGTATATAATTTCAGCATTTTAGAGATGGAGGCAGGAAGATAAATGGTTCAGCGTTAGCCTTGGTTCCCTATTGAGGCCAGCCTGGAGATGAGGGAGAAAAAAGGATCAGAAGTTTAAGACCAGTTACATGAGACCCTCTCAAGGAACGGAAGGGAGGGAGGGAAGGAGGGAGAGAGGAAGGGAAGGAAGGGAGGGATCAAAGAGAAGGAACAGGAAAAGAGAAGTGGGAAGATTTGGAAACAATGTGGAATTGTTTCCAGAAATTCATAATTTCACAGCTTACTCAAACAATGGCATACTTTTCATCTGTTTTTAGAAAAAGAACAAAAGGCGATGAAGTTAAGATTTAGTTGGGGAGGTGCTTGCTGGGTAAAAAAGAGGCCCCTGGCTCAATCTCCCCACAAGCGTGAGAACCTGAGTTCAGGTACCAGAACCCAAGGTTAAAAAAAAAAAATGTCAGGCTTGTCAGGCATAAAAAAATCCATCAAGGATATATTTCCTACTGACATGAAATCTTGCTCAAAATACAAGATTCAGCTGGAGATATAACTCAGTTGGTAGAGTGCTTGCCCAGTACATAGGAATACTTGGTTCCATTCCTATGCTTCATATTCAATCAGTATGGTGGTGCCTGCAGGAAAACATAACACATGGGAAGGGGAGACAGGGGGTGCAGAGGCAGGGATACTTCCATTTAAAAAAATAAATTAAATAATTTTTTTAATGTCATAGCCTACGGAAATGGGTCAGTGGGTAAAAGCAGTGCTCCTCGGTGAAGACCTGAGCTTGCATCCCTGAAGCCACGTGTGGCAGTTTGAACCAGAATGGCCCCCATTAACTCATACATTGGGATGCTTGGTCACTAGTTATCACAGTTTTGGAGGACTAGGAGGTGAGCTGCCATGTTGATGCTGGGAACTGAACCTGGGTCCTCTAAGCAAACACTCCTTACAACAGAGCCATCTCTCCAACCACTTTCCTTATTAGTGGAGAATTTTTGCCTCTGCACTTACAGAAAGCACTTCTTAGTGCTGGGGATATAACTCAGTGGTAAACATTTGACTTGCATGTGTGAAAATTCCTGAGTTTGTACTGTGGGAACTCCTTCAGCCCACAGCCTTTAAGATACCAGCCCACTTTGGGCGTGGTCTCGTATACTATAAATGCAGATGAAAAGCGTGCACAAGCCTCTTGACTGCTGGATTCAGTTCCAGTTCCCAGCGCAGGCAGAGAACTACGGATCGGATCGTTACCCTTTCTGTCTTTGTTATACTCCATTCTGGGCTATTGTGGAACACTTTTGTATGCCAACAAGTTATCGCCCACGGGGCCTGAGTCCACGGCATTGCGGGGTCCTGCCCAGAGCCCTGCCTGTGACCTTCTCACACCCCAAGCAGCTGAAATACCCCTGTGAAGCTGTGCGTGGTTTGGTTCGACTGGCCCACCGTGGCAACATGGCAATACTTGCCAGGCTGTGTCAGCGTGGCTTGGTCCGACCTACTAAGCGGCAAAGTCACTGCTGCCTGTGGATTTCTACCGGAACTCCACCACGTTTTATCTGGCTTCTCCAGGTCTACTCTCATCAGGCCGAACTCTGTCTCCTGGAGCAGGGGCTCTAACCATGCACCTGGAACACAGTCTTGTGTTCCCAGTTCAGATCTGCGAATGCCTGGCCGGAGATCTGTCCAGTAACCTTGCAGCTTGCGACTACCTGCAAACTCTGGGTTCCTTGATATCCTGCCCAAGTCAAACCTTGTCTGTATGTGATTGTGCTGCTCTTAAGTAATTATCTAAATTTGTTATTAATTCTAAGTTCAGGTAATTCAGGTACTGATCTAGGACCTGCCTTACTGCTGCAACTGTGACACCTGCTGGCCAATCAAGATTATTACACCTATGACAATTTACTGAAAGTATAATGGAGGTAAGTTAATTTGATTAATAAATAAATTTGAAAATTGTAAACCAACCCAAAGATAATTTCAGACAATACCACAATCCAGGAATTCAACAACCTTTTTGTTTCTACTATGGATGAAATTCTATAAGAGTTATGTGACCTACCTGGTATGTATATTTTTGTGGCCTTGGCAGCTTTTAACTTTTATATCCTTGAAGAAATGGTTTGATAACAGAGTCAAGAATGAGAAACTTTTAGGAATGATACAGTCTTCAGCTGAAAGGATTCAGACTATAGAAAATGATAACATTAATTTGATAGGCAAAATTTAATTCATGTCAAAGGGTTATGAAGCCTTACAAAAGGGTACTGAGATATTAACTGAAAGGATTCATACTGTTGAAATGGACAATCAAAATCTGTTAAAAAGTTATAAGTTAGCGGATAGAACATCCCTCCAGGAAGGCAATCTACATGCCACCCAAATAATATCTAAGGATGAGAAGATAACATTAATGGAAAATTTTAAAACCTTGCAATCACATGTACAGAATGAGACCCTGAAGTTAATTTATTTGATGAAATCATTAGAAATATTCACAGGTCAAGAGATTCAGGATTTACAAAAGAGAGTGATAAAAACATGTGAATCGATTGAGGAACTTGTCAGAACTGATAAGCAAGGAAAGAAGGTACAGGATTGAGCACTGCCAGTACCTCTCAGAGTCAGAGAAGACTTAACAAGAGTTTTCAGCAAATACTCAAAACCCAAACAGATATACAGAATGTAAATGGAAACCTATAGGTCTGAAAGATCTAAAAGAAATTAAGTAAGAAGTGGTATCATATGGCATGCATTCACCATTTGTTAGGGAGATGGTAGAGACTTGAGTTTCAAGCAATATGGTCACTCTACATGGTTGGCTTCAATTAGTCTCTGTGGTGCTAGAAGATGGACCACAGTTACAGAGAAAGTGCTATTAGAGAGAGAAAGCTAAAGCCCCGGAACATCAAGATAGAGTCAAAAGGTTTGAGGCTTCCCAATATCAAATTCTGGGTGAGGGCCATTATGCTGATCCATAGAGTCAAGCTATTTACAATAAACACATCTTGTCCCCATGCTATACAGTAACCTGGACTGCTTGGGACAGGATTCAAGAACTAGAAAGAAAAATTGAATCATATACTAAGGTCATACAAGACACCAAGAGAACCCTTTAGTGACTTTTTACAAAGATTAACTAAAGCTGTACAAATAGGGGTAACAGATCCAGAAGCTAGACAAATACTTATTGAATCATTGGTTTTTGAAAATGCCAGCTTAAGCTGGGTGGTAATGGTGCGCGCCTTTTATCCCAGCACTCAGGAGGCAGAGGGAGGCAGGTCTTTGTGAGTTTGAGGCCAGCCTGGTCTACAAGAGCTAGTTCCTGGCCAGGCTCCAAAACTACTGAGAAACCCTGTTTTGAAAAACCAAAACCAAACAAACAAACAAAAAGCCATCTTAGAATGCAAAAAGATACATGGGCCTTTAAAGGTCAAATCAGCATCAGTGAATGAACAGGTCCTGCACACAGCCAATGTTGATTCATTTGACTGTAACACTGAGACTTGGGTAGGCGAAGTGATTTCCAAAAGTATAAAGAGACATCAAAATACCAAATTTTTAATTGTGGTAGACGAGGACATCTAAGAAGAAATTGTAGACAAAGCATTCCTAGAAATAATGTTTCCTCTGGGAATGACAAAAATAGAAGATCTCAAGTTTCTGGACTATGTAGGAGATACAGCAAAGGCTGACACTGGACCAATAAATGTAGATCAACAAGAGACAGACAAGGAAACCTGTTACCATTGAGA